TTTTTTAAAAATAAAAACAACTCTCAATTTTGTTGTTATAAAATAAATTTATTTTCGAATTGCAAAATAGAAGACTTTTAAATGGGGGGAATCTACTGAACAAAATAATATTTCCAACTAATCAACCACTTAGACAAAAAAAAAAAAAATTATCATTAGCTTTAGTACTTATTTTCAATGTTTTTGGATCCGGTTCGGTGGTTAATCTATTTTGGTCACTAAATCTGGTTGAACCGATTGAATTGGTTAATTAAAAATAAAAGTGAGCTTGTCCTTAGAGCCTTTTTTTGGCAATGAATCTTGATTAAAAGAAAAAAAAAATTAAAATATCCTGATGAAAAGGGGAAAAAAAAATGTAAAACATTACTTGTATTTCCAAATTTTGAAACAAGTTAAAAAGTAAAACAAAAGGTTCAACGGATAAAAAAAAATCATAATACCTTAAAACCAATGGAAAAAAAGAAAGAAAGAAAGAAAGTAATAAATCATTTTTGTCAAAAAAGAATAAATACAGTAAAACCATACTAAATCTATTTCCTCACTTTTGTTGAACCAGGTTCTTTCATGTCAAAACTAATTATACCAAGGAATTATCTTTTTGTGATTAATGTCTTCAAAGAATTAAAACCGATAAGCAAAGTAAAAGAGTAAATATGTCGCAAACTAATTTATCATTGTTGAGTAAACCAGATTAATTTTAATTAACATTAAGACAAAAGGAAAAAAAAATATTACTGATGATCACCCAAATGTCTACCCAACAGGGATAGAATTTCTATATAATTCCAATTAATTAGATAATAAAATTCTTATTAAATTAAATAATTAACCTACGAAAACTACTTTTAATTAATTTATAAACAAAAACAAATTTTAAACGAGCTCATAGAGAAAATAGGGAATAAAAGAAAGAGAGCGTTTAATCGGTAAAAGAAGTGCTAAGAATAGCACAACGCGTAAGAACAAAGGAGAGGCCCTGCGTAATGCAAGAACCTCCATTGGAGACTCCATCAATGGTATAAAAGCAGAGGGTAGAAGCTACTGGAGACAACAACAGCAACAATTAACAACAGCAATAGCAAATTCTCTTCTCCTTCTGAGTAAAAACCCAAAAAAATATACAGAAAGGAAATTGAAATGGGAGCGGTGTTGTGGATTCTATTGCTCTGCCTCTGGGCGGCAACAGGGGTTCAGGGTGAAGATCCTTACCTTTTCTTTGAATGGAACATCACATATGGCACCGCAGCTCCCTTGGGTGTTCCCCAACAGGTTATCCTCATCAATGGCCAGTTCCCTGGTCCCAACATCAACTCCACCACCAACAACAACATTGTCATCAATATGTTCAACAATCTTGATGAGCCTTTTCTGATCACATGGTATCTCTAAATCATTCTAGTACAATTAATTTCGCACTTTGTTTCTGTATGTGTTGATGTTTTCTTTTTTGGAATATTTGCAGGAGTGGAATTCAGCACAGGAAGAACTCCTGGCAAGATGGAGTGGCTGGAACCAACTGTCCAATTGCTCCTGGAACCAACTACACATACCATTTCCAGGTAAAGGATCAGATTGGTAGCTACATCTATTACCCAGCATTGGGAATGCAAAGGGGAGCTGGTGGTTTCGGTGGGCTGAGGGTGAACAGCCGTCTGCTCATCCCTGTTCCCTACGCTGATCCTGCCGATGACTACACCGTTATTCTTAATGACTGGTGGACTAAGAGCCACAGCACCCTTAAGAAGATCTTGGATAGTGGCCGCTCAATTGGCAGGCCTGCCGGTGTTCTGATCAATGGTAAGGTTGCAAAGGGTGACGGTAAGGATGAGCCTCTGTTCACCATGGAGCCTGGAAAGACTTACAAGTACAGGATTTGCAATACTGGGTTGAAAACATCGCTCAACTTCAGGATTCAGGGACACAAAATGCTGCTTGTGGAAATGGAAGGATCCCACACCGTGCAGAACTCATACGAGTCCCTTGACGTTCATGTTAGCCAGTGCTATGCTGTGCTGGTGACTGCTGATCAAACCCCCAAGGACTATTACATGGTGGCCTCCACCAGATTCCAGAGGAAGGAGATGACTACCACTGGAATCATCCGTTACACCAACGGCAAGGGTCCTGCATCCCCTGAGCTTCCTCCTGCTCCAGTTGGCTGGGCTTGGTCCCTCAATCAGTTCCGCACCTTCCGCTGGAACCTGACTGCCAGCGCTGCCAGGCCTAACCCACAGGGGTCCTACCACTATGGCGCCATCAACATCACCCGCACCATCAAGCTCGCTAACTCAGCCTCCAAGGTCAACGGGAAGCTCCGATATGCCATCAACGGTGTTTCCCATGTTGACACACCCACCCCCCTCAAGCTCGCCGAGTACTTTCAGATCCCCGATAAGGTTTTCAAATACAATGTCATCGGAGATGAACCATCATCTTCAAACCAGGAAGTCATCCGACAACCCATTGTCCTGAACATGACATTCCGTACCTTTATTGAGATCATCTTCGAGAACCACGAAACAGCCATCCAGTCATGGCACCTTGATGGGTATTCATTCTTCGCTGTCGCGTAAGTCTCAGCCCTCTGTTTTTTCTCATTCTTCTCTTCAGCTCTCTACCTGTTTGTATAAACGCCGCAGAGATAAATTTATGAATTGATTTGCAGCATCGAGGCCGGAACCTGGACCCCTGAGAAGAGGAAGAACTACAATCTCCTTGACGCAGTGAGCAGGCACACCATACAGGTCTTCCCCAAATCCTGGGCCGCCATCCTCCTGACCTTCGACAACGCCGGAATGTGGAACATCCGTTCTGAAATCTGGGAAAGGCACTACCTTGGCCAGCAACTCTACGCTAGCGTGATCTCCCCTGCACGTTCCCTCAGGGACGAGTACAACATCCCCGATTATGCTCTTCTCTGCGGCGACGTAGTGAACCTCCCCAAGCCTCCACCATACACCATCTAAACACCCACCATTCAATCTTTTGCCGTGGCTCACACAGATAATAGAACGTAGCGGGTGTGTGAGAGACGTATTTGAGGTGGTTTTGAGAGACAAACTCTATGGGTTAAGGTTTATGTGATGGTTTTTTTCCACAGTTATTGTGTTTCTTTGCCCTCCGTTGCAAAGTGATTTAACTTTTATGAATTTGTAATTTTTTATTACATTTTATTTATATTTAAAAAAAAAATCATTCTGCAAAATTTCTAAGATTCATGAGTGATGCTTAAAATTTTCTTTCTTAACAAATAAAAACAATAAAAAAATAATTAAAAAAAAAAAAGAAAGAGAGAGAGAGTGGAAGGAGAATACCCTCAGTTACATAGGATAATGAGGCAGAAACAGGTCTTCTTTCAGGGAGTGAATTTCTTCTTCTTTTTCCTCCTCTGTTTCGACCCTTTTCTTCACATCGGAAATATATAAGTTTATGATATCTGTAGGAAAGAAAAGATTCATTTTTTGCATTATTACAACAAAGGATGAAATGAAAAAGTGCTCAGTTTACAACAGGCTACATTCAGAACAGGAGATGAATCCCTCCATCCTGTTGAAACACAGTGAAAAAGAATCGGCAAACTCTTGATAAGTAGCATGTGAAGAAATATCTCTAGTTGGAAAGGCAAATCAATGAAAGAATTATGGTTGAAGCCATAGCAGTAAGTCAAATATCATGCTACAAGGCAATTGCTTGTCATGGAATAGGCTCATAAGGTCTCCATTGCTTCACAGTTTTGCTTAGATGTTCTGGGAGTACAGCAGACCACAAGTCAATGTCAGGGAAAGGACCGGTTAGTGCAAGATAATTTTGGCCTTCTCTTTCCCCCAACACCTTCCAGTATAACTGTGTCAATAGAATTTCGAATCTTGTCAGAAAACTATCTCACACCAACGTCATATTACACTTGTTTGTTAGGCAAAGCTAATCATGGTTTTTTACATTATTTTTTTTTATTTTGGAACATTGGGACAAAATTGGGTGAATCTTTATAAAGTTTTGAAGTGTGTAACTGTTGTACTCATAATATTATAGTAACAAGTACAAGCCCGCTAGAACTACACAGAACAGCACGTTATCCCCACAAAAGAATAAGATTAAGAAAATGTCATACTTGTCCAGGAAATGCCGCAGCCATTGCCCTGATAGTAGAATTTTGTATCTCATTGCCATCTATAGTTTTAGATGCTTCACTAATACCTCCACAATTCACCATGAAGCGACCCTTGGGCATCAGTCTATCCTTTAACTCCAACCAGGTTGCAACCTGTACCAGTAGTTTGAATTAACACAAAAATAGAAATGAATTTGAAATCCAAATTCTTTTTTTACCAGGGGAATTGGATTTAAGAAGATTAAATACAATGAATCTACAGAATGGAGTTGACTTCGAATTACTGTCACAACATAGGGAACCAAAACAGGTTGGAGTACGTACCTCCTGCAACTCTGCCAAAACCTCTCCATCTGAGAATAAGTCAATTACAATGCCTGTACATTAATTATTTACAAAGAAGGTTAAGAACAAATGGGTAAGAAGGAAAATACCTTGCTTTAACTAAAATAAAGCTCATAAGAAGCATGAACTTAATCAACTAATATTGCCTTCTTGAAAATCCAGAGACCTTAGTGTCTTGGGGCATGGGAGGCTGTTTGCAAAGGAGAACTATCCTACTTGTAAGTTGGTAGAAGTGAGTTAAATTCTCTAATGTATGAATTATAATCTAGTCTCACCACTCACCAGCATATCCTTCAGAAGGATTCTGCCCAGCAGGAAAGACATCTCCAATATGAACTTGAAGTCTACCACCAGCTTCAGTATGCTTCTCAAGCTCTGATAGTCCAAGATATTCTCTTGCTTTATCAATCAACTAATATGCAGAAAATAAAGGATAATCATTGTATCACCGAGGGAGTGAAAACAATTGAGCTTTTTCTCAATACAAACATAGTTTTGGTTTAAAAAATTTAGGCCTCTGTTGGGCTCATTAGTAAACTCTTGAAGAAAACCCTTGATGCTTATTTGATTTAATCAAAAAAGAAACACGCATTAATTGAAAGAAAGTAGAAGTCCTGGATAGAAATATATTTACAAGAAAATGGTAAAGAAATGCTGTATATGATTCTATGGTAAAAAAGTTTCACAGAATAATCAACCAGATACTATATACTTCTCAATCCTCCAAAAAGTTTATTCCTCACAATTCCATCAATCTCCCAACCTTCAAGCTGCAATGAAGGCCAAACGTCTAGCATCAGATATGCAGCTGTTCCACCACCCTAACAATGAGAGAATTTCAAAACTTCAAATTGATGAACTCATTAATTAAAATTTGGCAATATATTTTGAAAAATTGAGGAAAGATACATATGTAATGGTAAGGTCAATACATTACCAATCCATAGATTGCAATTGGACCTTCTGGAATAATTGCAGGCAAACTGGCAAATTCATCCTAGAGAGAACAAGGGCATGAAATCAGTTTTCAGAAAATATTACTTCTCATCATTTCATTGGTATCTTTCCCTACCAGTTTTTCCAAGAACCTAATGGAATCAATACCAGGCAATAAAACGGGCCTAACTACAAGGACTTGAAATCATAATCAATAACACAATTAAAACACACTTAAAGATGCATAAAAAATATATATTTATAAGAATTTACTAAGAGGATTGCGTCCTTCTTCTTCTTTTCCCTTCTTTGCCCGTTACATAAGAAGAGAGGGGATGAATTGGAAACAGTTAACAGTTTGAGAACAAAGAACATTGACTTACCCAATATGATCCTGTCCATTTCTCATCACCCTTTTGTACAATGCTGTGGACATTATCTGCATTGATATATGTATTGAATTAGGGATAGCAGAGACTTGATCCTGCCAATAACATGTACGTAATGCTGTCATCTATTGATACAGAAATCTAATGATACGGATTTCAAAAAAACTAAACCATATCAAAAATAGAAAGCCTTTCCACCCAAAAATTTTAGAACGTTGTACAGAATCAAGTAGTTCATCATACTTAGTTAATTAATACGCATGGCTCATAAGAATTCAGCAGAAGAGGAAGAATGCCAATTTTCTCTAACCCGAATTTCAATCCTTCTTTTCAACTTAACCAGGAGTTAATCTTACCCTTTCAGGGAGATAGGAAAATAACAGTGAAAATTTTTTTTCTAAGAGACAATATGACGAGCACGTAGTATGCAGCCCCGTTTACAAATATAGACAGCCTGAAGCAAATTAATTGTTGAAATGTAAACCCCATTTACGCAAGGATGCAAACAAATTCGTGACATTTCTATCTCAATTTAAACTCAAATTCCATGTTAGAGAGAAGGATGGATAGCTACGTGTAGAGTCAAGGAGCAACATCCTTGATTTTGGAGAGTCCACTATGACAATGTCGTTGTATTTGCTCCTTATAGCCGTTAAAACTTGAAAATTTTCCTCTTCGCCCTCAGAACGAGCTGCTTCCGAACCTAAATTACCGACTTTTACTTTCCGAGCTCTGGAAAACGAACGTCGACCCAGGACGGAGGCAGAGGACGGGGATCTAAGTTCAGTTCTGCTTTCATGGATGGGGAAGAAACGATTGCTCCATCCATTCCCCTTACACATGAACGGTGAAGATGATACAACCGAACTTAGAAACGGCAAAGATAGCATCTTTATGTAAGTATCTCAGTCTCAATAGCTAATGTCTTTGTTCCGTGGGATTTCGATTCTCAGACAGAGAAGAGAACCAGCGGCGCGACAGAAGAAACAACGTTATCCGCTAACGGCTTTTATGAAAAGGTGGACATTTAACCTCTCACTTTTTTTTTTTTCAATGAAGCCCTCAAACTAGTCAAAGAACATGTTTGGTGGAACTTGTAAGTGCTTCAGTTTTTTAATACTATTCATATTTCATAAATTAAAATTTTTCTTTTAAAAACTTACATTTTGAACCTTTTTTTTAATTTTAAAAAAATCTCAAATAATAAATTTTGGAAAGTTTCAAATTTTTACTTTTTATAAATTTTCTTTTTACTCATTTCTTAATCATTTTTTATTTTTTCTAAAAATAACTTAAAATTTTTTCTTTTAATAAAATTTAAATTTATGACTCATAAACAATACTAAAAACGTAAAAGTTTCAAGAAACTCCACCAAACAGGCCCAAAGTGTTAGACCATTGAACTTGAATTAGCTCTACAGGTTTAAAGTAAAGTTTAAGGACCTTATTAGTAATTTGTCCCTTTTGAAACTTGCTAAAAGGAGTTAATTTGATTGGTGTTATTTTTGTTGTTATTTTTAATTTTGGTTCATGAGTTAATCAACTAATAAAATGTAATAATTTGTTAAAATCTGAATTAATTGATGCAATATGGTCAAAATAATATTGTTAATATTATAAAATAATTAAAATAGTAATGTTAGATATGTTTTTAATTTTGGGGTATGGGTAGTAGTTTGGTGGGTATAGGGTTTTGGCTGTTTGCTTTCCATCTTATAGATGTGATTTGGATAATTTGTTAGTGCTAAATTGTTTTGTGGCTATAACTATAAGTTTTCTTTTTCTTTTTCTTTTTTATTTGAATAGTCAAAATATTATAAAAATATAAATAAAATTAATAAAAATATATAAAAATTAATTAAAATTATATATTATTACATTTTTAGATAAGATATTATGTGAAAAATATTTGTGCAAACTATTGTTAAACAAAACCTTGATTTACTAGGATATCATAATTCTCTAATTTTGACATAAATGATTTATTTTTAATTAGTCTAAAAGGTAAATTTAGATGATGTGTGAAAACTAATGTAAAATATTACTTGCTGTTATACCAATAAAAATATATATTTAATGAAAAATGAATTCGGCCAAGAATTCCATGAACCATAAACTGGAAAAATAACATTAAAAAATAAGAAGAAACAATTTTAAGGATGGACGTGAAAAAATGGTACGGATTAGGAATGCAATAGAGAAGCATTTGAAAGATTAAGGACAATCATAAAAATAACGAAAGTTTTTATCAGAAAATTTTTAATTTTCTTAAAGACGTAAAAATCGTTTGGTCGGTCAAAATTAGAGCCGCCGACCCGACCGAACCACTTTGTGGTCAAATCGAACGGTGACTCGAAGTCGATGATACACCGCCGCTTAGAGCCGTCGCCGTAATACCAACTTGCGGTGAAGAAGGGAGATGGGAAGGACAATGGAATGGGCAGCCAAAGCGAATCACATGGGAGGAATACCAAGAAAGATGGTGTTCACGGCGGTCGGGGCATTCGCCAAGGCGGTAGCCACCCTTATTAACACCACCTCCGTCCATAATGCCGATACCCTCCTTAGTCTCGTCCGCTCTCGACCCCCCGGCATACCGCTTATCACGGTTAGCAATCACATGTCCACGTGGGTATTCAGTTTCTTTCTAGTTCTATCTCCCTGTTTTCCTTCTCCTTGGGTTTAGTAGTTTTGTTAATTCATAATCTATGCAGCTTGGATGATCCACTTATGTGGGGATTCAAGGGCTTCCCCTCCTCGGATGCTAAATTGGGTCGATGGGTGCTTGCTGCAGAGGACATATGTTTCAAAAATGCTGTCTTTTCTTATTTTTTCCGACTTGGTATGTTCCTTCTCCTTAACATTGGTTTTCCTAAATCATTCCACATGTTATTTTTACAATGCAATTGATTTAGGTATTAATTGTGCTCAATAGGAACAATGGTTATTTCTCTAAAAAAACAGGTAGGAATAATGGTTTATGATCTGTTGTTAACCTTGCTTCTTATTGATAGGATAGGATTTCTCTTGATCTGATTTGATTTAAGGGAGTTATAAAGCTTTGACCTTTCCTCGAAAGGAGGGCAATTTCACCTATTTGTTATTTAAACAGTACCCTGTAGCAGAATGTTGCATGAACTTGATTTGGAAATTGATAGATCAAGTGGTTTTAAGCAAGATTTTGTCTCTGAAATAGTAAATTCTGCAGGGAAGTGTATACCTATTACAAGGGGTGCTGGGATTTATCAAGAACAGATGAACGAAGCTATTGAGCGCTTAAGTGATGGAGCCTGGGTATTTATTTGATATTTTACTATTTCAGCTGCATGTGGTTAGAAAGACCCTTATGCCATAGTTTTTAGGATTTTCACAAGTGATACTTAATTTGGTTTACCAGAGTTCTTATTCATTGGGTTCCTTTTATGAGTAGAGGTTGACATTTTATTTATCTATAAATGGTTGCTTCACGATCCAGTTAATTAGTGGAGTACATTCTATGGTTGATCAGTGTTCTTGTTCTTCTCACAATCGAGTAATTTTCACTCTCCCTAACTGACTCACTGAAATGGGACTATTGATACTCATGAACTTAAGAGATTTCTGGCAAAGGACAAAGCTTTGGAGAGGAATAAATTATAAATGGATCTGATAGGAAAATGAGTTGTGGTTTTTGGGGTCTGACTTTTGAACATCATATAAAATGTTGTGAATGTGCTCTATTTCTGGCAAAGAACACTGGGGACTTCGGTTCCAGTGTTCAGAGGTTCTTCATATAACAGTTGTTGAAAGTCATAAAACTACATTATCTTGCTTTTCCCTGTGGCATGCCTGAATGAAATCAATTGCCTAACAAAGAGGACAACTCTCAATGTTTCAGACTTGCATTTTCAATATTGATGCTAGTCATGCATTGAATGGTGTTAAAGTTCTCTTGCTTTATGCTGTAATTAGGTTTCTTTTCTTATATGCTTATAAATTTAAATTCTTCTAATGTTTTTCCCTTTCTTCAATGGATAGCTACATACATTTCCTGAGGGTAAGGTATCCCAAGAAGATGCGCCTATTAGAAGATTAAAATGGGGAACTGCTAGTCTTATTGTTCGTGCTCCTGCAACGCCAATTGTTCTTCCCATCTATCATCGTGGTTTTGAAGAGGTTAGAATAGCTAAAAGTTGCATTCCCATGTCATCCCTTTCTTTTTCATTATATATATTTACTCATGAAAGTGAACGCCTTCTTTTTTTTTTTTTTCTTTTTTCTAATATGCTTGCTGGTTTTATTTGGTGAACCATAAATAAAAAGATTAAGGTCAGTTTGTTGAGTCCACCACTTCCACCACCATTCCACCAACATTCCCTTTGTCAATCAGTCTTCTCAAAATTGCATTTTACTCTTACTCCAACAAGCCCCACCCCCCCCACCCCCACCCAAAAAGAGAAGACCCCTTTTCTTGTATGATGTATGTGCCTGTCTATTATTGATTCCACCATTCTTGTGAACCTTGTCTTTCTTTTTAAATTTGTTTTTTAAGTCTAACTGATTTATTTGTTCTTCCTTTTTTTTCTTTTGGCTTCATTGTTCATTTCTGATCTATTCCATGTTCTCCTACACTGGAATGCATAGGTGATGCCAGAAAAGTCTTTCCTTGGCAGAAGGCCTCCTCTTCCATTATGGAATAAGAACATAAAGATCATAGTCGGTGAACCATTGGAATTTGATCTTCCTAAAATGATGCAGATGGCAATTTTAATGTCTCATGATAAATCACCACCACCTTTAATAGGATGGCCCACTATCTCCCAACATAGTCTAGATGAAGCAGCACAGAGATGTCTCTATACAACCATTTCAGAGCGAATACAGACTGCAATGGAGAGCTTGAGAAGTTTTGGCAAAAGTTTACTGAAGTAGAAGATTTTTAACTCACAAATGTTTCTCTCTTTTTCTGTTCTTTTTGATAGATCAAAAAATTTTGGGAAAAAAATTCTTGATATATCCCCATTTCATTAATTTATACTCCCATGATTGGCCAACAACCAGGCATCCTGTTTTGCACTAAGGTGAAAAACTTTCCTAGAAGCCATATGCTCAATTTATGATTTTGGAAACATATTCCAAGATGGAAATCAGTGAATGGATGTATTTGGATTCTTGCTCCATAGATTTTTCTTTTTCTTTTCTTTTCTTTTTTACGTTGGTAACTATTGAAAAGTTGATGATGTTAAAATGCGTATATTTGAAGGCATAGAATGACAGGCTGCTGAATTTGATGAAAGGAGAGACGATTGGGGGCAAGAGGTAACTAAAT